TATTATTATTATTACTATTGTTGTTGTTGTTATTGTTGTTTTATAATTGTTGTTTATAATTTGTACAATTAACCTCCCTGTGGTTCGACCTCGGTCTTGCCGGGTTATTTATTACTTCGACACTCCTGCACTTGGGAGAAGATATCAATCTTTTAGTCGTGTCACCACCACTCTGTGAAATGCTAATGGACTTACTCTGTCTATAAATTCATTGGTGATTGTGGCATTTGCACTAAGCTACTATGAAATTTTTATCTATTTGTAACTTCATCGGTGATTGTGGTATTTGGACAAAGCTATTGTGAAATGCTAATAGATGTTATCCATCCATCTGTAAATTCATCAGTGATGGTGGCATTTCCTACTCTCTGTTAAATACTGACGGATACATTCCGTCTGTAAATCCCTCGGTGGGTATTTAAAATTTATTTTTTAAATTATTTAGAATAAATAATATTAAATTATATACATTATTAGTATGCAAATAAAATTTTATTAAACATAAAAAATAAACAAATAAAGTTAACTAATATTCATTACAAATTGAATGTGTTTCAACAAAAATATTAAATTTGCACAATGGTGGAGCTGGAGCTGGAGCTGAAGGAGAAAATATTAAATTAGCACAATGGTGGAGCTGAAGTTGGAGCTGAAGGAGGAGGAGGAGGAGGAGGAGGAGGAGGAGGAGGAGGAGGAGGAGGCTGATTGTTATATGGCTTAAAAGGGGGTTGACATGTATCATCACTTTATAAAGTCATGTTCATAACCATTTGGTAGAATTGTTCATAATTTGCCGAGAGTTACTCGTATTTCTCGATGAGATTAGCCATGTGTTGTTTCAAGGCCATGATATCTTCATATTGGGTGCTTGATGTTGATTTGTAGCTCTTAACGGTTGAGACACTATAGGTCGATCGTAAATTCTTGGTTGTAGTGTTGGAGAGCCCATACACTAGATTTTTATTAGGTCCATCGAACGATCCTATCTCCATCTACAAATCTGGATCAAAATTCAGATAAGTTGAAGGATCATTCCCATATCTCTCCCTTAACCGACTATTATAGGTCTTCTGAAAAAAAGAAAAGAAAAAGAAATCATCATATTCAATTCAATAAAAAAAATAACTTACATAATTAAATGATTGAACAAACATACCACAAAATGTTAAACGCGGTTGTCAATGAACTGTTACGATTGAACAAACATACCACAAAATGTTAAGCGCGGTTGTCAATGAACTGTTGCGCCCCCTTTTGGC